CCAGGATCAGGAAACAGTCCTCCATAAAATGTGCTGCACACATCTGAATATTTGGGTTGAAGTGTTCTGGAACAGTGTTGTAAATACAACTTAACCACTGATTTCTAGTCGTGTCCTCTTTTGGAAGACCAAACAAAGTAGTTTCGCTTTCACAACGAAACACACAGCGTCTTCACAACATGGCAGCGGCAGCAACAATAAAGTTACGCCTTCTTTCTTTGCGTGAACATTTGGGTGCGTTATGCAAATCTTCCCACACAGTGATGTAGATATGTGGGGGTGTTTAAAAGAGGCGTTTTAGGAGGGCGTGGACGAGTCTTAACTTTTATGTAGAATATCTCTTTGGGTTTGAGACTTTAGTCTTTGCAACTTTAGGGATCTTATCTATTCACGAACAGCTTGTAACACTCCAAAGAGAAAAGGAAAACTTGAAATCGCATCATATGACCCCTTTAAAACATTTTGGTCATTTTGGTGTGTCTTTAGCAGAAGTTTGACTTGTGCTTGTTAGAGTGGCGTTGCGTTTGGTCATGTGATCCAATGCACTGAGCCGCTTCACTCGTATGGGCAACATGAGTTTGTTCAGCTCCTGATCTCGGTTCTCATCTTTCAATAATAGACATGCAGGCCAAAAGTAAAATTTAAAACAATGCCTTTGCTGAAGAGTGTGAGGAATTGATAGTCAACTATAATGAATTACATTATATAAAACAAAAAAATTAGGTTTTAAAAATTGTGATTTTAAAATCACATGTATTTCACACAGTTTAAATATGCTAATATGTATAAAAAATAGTGCTGTCAAACGATTAATCGCATCCAAAATAAAAGTTTTTGTTTACATAATAAATATACACTGTACACATACATATATTATGTATTTATAAATACAAACACATGCTTGTATACATTTAAGAAAAATAAGTTGTTTATATTTTAAATATATTTATATATAATATAAATGATATGAATATAAATATATACACATGTAAATGTTTTTCGAAATATATACTGTATGTGTGTGTATTTATATATACATAATAAATATACACGCATATAATATGTAAACAAAAACTTTTATTTTGGATGCGATTAATCGATTGACAGCACTAATAAAAAAATAAAAATACATCATTATAATACATTAAATGCAATATTATTATTAACTAAAGCTAAAACTAACTTTGAAATGTAGCTTTGAAAGTTATTGAAATAAGCCTGAAATAAAATATAAATACTAGATGGAAAAATAAAAAAACTTAAATTAATTAATATAAATATATACATTTATTAATATAATGTGTAATACATAAAAAAAAAAGAATAATAATAAATTAAATATGCTAGGTAGAGTTATTGTTAAAAAGCACATAAATTTACTAAAACTTAAGCCAAATTTAAAATGAAAACTGAAAATATAAATGCTATAATTTATTATAATTTACTGTACTGTAATTAGTTAGTAAATAATATTAAAGTGATCATACAATTTAGTAATAGATTAAAATTGCTTGTGTTTGATAAGGCATGCTTTAATGATTATGAAAACAATCAAATTAAACCAAATCATGACCTGAAATCATGTTTCAGGTATCATGGTGTATGGCTGCATCATTTCGACAGTAATTTAGAAAATGATCTGAAATGAATTGTGTGAAATATTTAAACCACTAATACAGGTTTTATATTAACGCTTGGAGCATTCAAAGTTATAATTGGTTTGAAAAATTTCCCACGACTGGTTAATATCTACATTATTATCGTGCAGTACTTAACAGATAATTTTTCCTTCTTCAGTATAATTGTACTATGTTGTAATCCTCATTCCTCATGTTTTCTTTCTGTAGGTTGCCGGGCGTAAAGGTTTTCCTCATGTAATCTACGCGCGCTTGTGGCGCTCTTTATATTAACGCTTGGAGCATTCAAAGTTATAATTGGTTTGAAAAATTTCCCACGACTGGTTAATATGTACATTATTATTGTGCAGTACTTAACAGATAATTTTTCCTTCTTCAGTATAATTGTACTATGTTGTAATCCTCATTCCTCATGTTTTCTTTCTGTAGGTTGCCGGGCGTAAAGGTTTTCCTCATGTAATCTACGCGCGCTTGTGGCGCTGGCCTGACCTTCACAAGAACGAGCTGAAGCATGTGAAATTCTGCCAGTACGCATTTGACCTCAAATACGATAATGTCTGTGTCAACCCTTACCATTATGAGAGAGTGGTGTCACCAGGCATCGGTGAGTCTGCTGTCCTTTCATTCATCACCATGAACCAAGACGTTACTGAGCTGTGTGCAGCACTTCCTGAGTCTGCAAAAATACAGTCTCATGCTTTTCTGTCAGTGCAGGAAAACACATTGTAATAAGTTTTTATCTTTTTTTTCTTTCTCTCATCTCAAGTTGGTCTCAGTCTTCAAAACACGGGTAAGTCATGCAATAATCAGTGTTGGGGAGGAACTAGTTACATGTAAAGAATTTCATAATTTAATTACAAAATAAATGTAATACTAATCAGTTACAGTTACTGAGAAAAAAAGTAATTAAAGTACAGTAACTTCTGAAAATGTTAACGTTATGAATCAAAATGTTACATCTGAATTTTTACTCACACATACAGATTTAATTGATTTCTTTCCCAAAATGCACTGACTGCTCTAAAATATGAGACTATGAGACACCAGGAGTTTAGGACACAGAATTTTTTTTTAACAGTTTTTTTTTCCCCAGGGCATTGTTAGATGCCAGTGTGCCAGTGTTTAGCTATGCAACACACACACACACACACACACACACACACTATGGTTCAAATGTTTAGAATAATGAAGATTTTTAATTATAAATAATTAAGAAGTCTCTTATGTTCACCAAGGCTGCATTTATTTGATCAGAAACAGTAATAACAGTAATATTGTAGAATATTATTACAATTTCAAATGACCGTTTTTCTATTTGAATATTTTAAAGTGTAATTTATTTCTGTGATGCCAAGTTAATAAATTCCTTCAGAAATCATTCTAATATGCTGACTTGCTGTTCAAGAAACATGATTATTAAAAATTTTATTACATCAGACTTTTAACTTTTTTTAAAAACATTTTTATTACATTAAATCAAATGATAAATTATACAATTTCTAAAATATATTTTTAAAAATATAAATTTATTTATTGAAATGTTTATTAATGAACCGATAAAGTTACGAAATTATGAAATATTGAACATGATGATAAACAGTGTTATTTTAAGTTTTTCAACAAAAAATGACTTGCCATTCCACACAGGCTCAAAACAGATTCACTGATTCGGTTAAGTCCCAAATGAATCTGTGATTTATTTATTTTTGGTTGTTATGAACTGACTCGATTTGTCCTCTGGCTCATATGTAGGTCCCACTGGCAGACTAATAAAGGAAGAGTACAGCCACGACTGCATTCAGATGGACGTTCCCCCAGGCCTGCCTCCTCAGCAGGACCACCAGGGGGCGATGAAACTCCCTCCTCCGGACCACTACGGCCAGCCACTGCCTCCTCTACAGCTGCCTTCAGAACCCAGCCGCGCCCCCCCGCCGGTCACCCTTTACTCCAACATGCCCCTCTCCCCCACCGGTAAGCGCTGACCACTGGCCACACAGGACTCTCAGCTGTTGTAATCAGTGTCATCTTCCAAACTCTCATGTCTTTCAGCTTCAGGCTCTATGATGCCGATGCAGGGAGGTCACGGTGAAGGCTTACTTCAGATTGCATCTCCTCAGGGTCAAGTCATGACCCCTACACCTCCCCCCTCCACCCCTACACATGGACCCCCACAGACCCCCGTCCCACCGCAGCCTC